TAATCACCTCAGAGGAGCCCTCACAGTTCTTCATTAGCTGTCACCCTACACTTCAGCTCCTAGGATGGCAGACAGGCTTCCCACAGAGTTTGATGTGATTATAGTAGGAACAGGTCTGCCTGAGTCCATCCTTGCAGCTGCATGTTCAAGAAGTGGGCAGAGTGTTCTGCATGTTGACTCAAGAAGTTACTATGGAGGGAACTGGGCTAGTTTCAGCTTTTCAGGTTTGCTTTCCTGGTTGAAGGAATGCCAGGAGAACAACGGCAGTGAGGAAGAAGGGACTGCTGCCTGGCAAGACTCCATCCATGAAACGGAAGAAGCCATCGCTCTCTCCCAGAAGGATGAAACTATTCAGCACATAGAAGTCTTTTGTTATGCTAGTCAGGATGTGGGAGACAGCATTCAAGAGACTGATGCTCTACAGAAAAGTCTTTCCCCAGAGGCATTTGGTACCCTCCCTGAGCCTCTGGATTCTGTATGCTTGCCCAAAGAAATGCCTTCCACAAAAACAGAGATAAGTGAAACAGAGCTCTCAGTGGCTGTACCTGATGTAGAGGACTCACCAGAGAAGGAACAGCACTGTGGAGAGGAAGCCTGTATCCACACAGTTTCAGATGGACACAGAGATGAAAACAGACTTGCTGTAGAGGACCACCCTGGTCAGCCAAAGAGAAGTAGGATCACTTACCCTCAGATGGTTAAGGAAAGCAGGAAGTTTAATATTGATTTGGTATCAAAGCTGCTGTATTCTCAAGGATCTCTGATTGACCTTTTAATCAAATCAAATGTTAGTTGTTACGCAGAATTTAAGAATGTCACTAGGATTCTTACATTTCGGGAAGGGAAGGTAGAACAGGTGCCTTGCTCCAGAGTAGATGTCTTTAATAGTAAAGAGCTCACCATGGTTGAAAAGAGGATGCTAATGAAATTCCTTACGTTCTGTTTAGACTATGAACAGCATCCTGATGAATACCAAGATTTCAACCAGTGCTCATTTTCTGAGTACTTAAAAACTAAAAAACTAACCCCCAACCTCCAGCATTTTATACTCCACTCAATTGCAATGACATCAGAATCACCTTGCACTACATTAGATGGGCTTAAAGCAACAAAAAAACTTCCTTCAGTGTCTTGGACGATATGGCAACACTCCCTTTTTATTTCCTTTGTATGGCCAAAGGGAAATTCCCCAGTGTTTCTGCAGGATGTGTGCAGTTTTTGGTGGAATCTATTGTCTTCACCACAAAATACAATGCTTTGTAGTTGACAAAGACTCCGGAAGCTGTAGAGCAGTCATAGACCACTTGGGCCAGAGGATAAATGCTAGCTCTTTTATTGTGGAGGATAGCTACCTTTCGAAGGACACATGCTCCAACATGCAGTATAAGCAGATCTCAAGGGCCGTGCTCATCACAGACCAGTCCATGCTGGAGACAGATTCAGATCAGCAGATTTCCATCTTGAGAGTGCCTCCACTGGAGCCAGGAACCTGCTCTGTTCGGGTCACTGAATTATGTTCTTCAACCATGACGTGCATGAAAGACACCTATCTGGTCCATTTGACCTGCTCCTCCTCAAAAACAGCAAGAGAAGACTTAGAGCCAGTGGTGAAGAAACTCTTCACTCCTTTCTCAGAAACAGAAGCGGAGAAGGAAGAACTCAGAAAACCAAGACTCTTGTGGGCTCTTTATTTTAACATGAGAGATTCCTCAGGTGTGAGCCAAAGCTCATACTGTGGCTTACCTTCCAATGTGTACGTCTGCTCTGGGCCTGACTGTGCACTGGGGAATGAGCCTGCAGTCAAACAAGCAGAAAGGCTGTTCCAGGAGCTCTTTCCCAATGAGGAATTCTGCCCACCTCCTCCAAATCCAGAAGACATTATCTTTGATGGTGAGGATAAGCAGTCAGACATTTCAGCAAC